AATAGTTTCGGTTTCGAAGTTCCACCGCCATTTTGTTGTGATTTTTTTCATTTATTCCTTTCGTTTATTGATTATATTATTAATTGATTATTAAAAATAGTCACATTATACATATATAACATTTTATATCAGTATTATTGACACCTGGGAAGATGGAATGATGAGCGGGGTAGGATTCGGAAATTGTGGCAAGGAACAGAGACAAGTGGAATAATTTGCAGGAGGCCTGAAGACCTGGAGTGAACTCCATCGGAGGTCGACTACTAGTGTAAATCTAATGTAGTACTCGAATAAAGGCTATTTTTATTTTTTATTTAATTTATTGACTCATAACATAATCGCAGTGATCTTTATTATTTTTTTGGCTGAAACATTTTATTGTTTTAAATCGTTCTTAAATTCAAACTTGGAATTTTAGACAAATATTTTTAGATAAGAGAATTAGACAAGCAAAGAAGAAGACATAAGAGCTAGAACGAGAGTGACATTCTAAGATCGACCAAATGAAATGGATATGGACGGGTCATATACTGAGCCCCCATGAAAAATGGAGCAAAATATTGACGGAATAACGGAAAACTCATGTTAATAGCAGGCTACAACTGGATAAGAGTTTCAAAGGATAGAGAACATTGGAAGGTGTTAGAGGAGGCCTTCGCCAAGAGGCACACCGAACTGCGAGATATAATGGAGTAAAAGTATTATTAAAGTATTTATTATATTAAAGATCACAGATCTCAGAGTTTCGGAATATAAAGGCTATATTATTATAATTTCACACAGAATAAATAATAATTGCGCGAACAATTAGAACTCCGTGAACTAATGATCTACCTAAACAATTATTACTTGATGATTCAGTTTTCCTTGTTTTGTCGTTTTTTTATGATCTACACTTGTTCTATGATTCTTGATTTCGTGCTGTTATTGAGATAACAGGATTGCACTTCAATAGCTTCATATGTTATTTACGACTACAGCCTATAAACTTATGAAACTGATATTCTTTAACATCATAACTTTAAACTCACAAAAAATCTATATTAAAATTTTCAAAACCGGGTTTGACTGCTCCCTGAGTTGGAATACCACTGATTTAAATCAAAATTACTTTAAGTTTCCAATTTTGTTTTCTATCTTACATACATTTATTGAGCAGTGTTGGCCTTAAATACATATACTACAGATATCCACAATAAACACGATAGATTTTATTGGATTGATAATTGTTTGAAAACAATGAAATGAGTTTTATCACAATACAAATTATAATAAATTCACAAACAAGGTAACCTTCGGACAGAACAAAGCAGTTTTTCCTGTTTCTTACTCGTTATTTTTCTTTTTTGCTAACTATATCTGCGAGAATCGAGAAATGTTACGTAGCTCATTATAATGCAGTGCGTTTGTTTCATACAATAAGGATATTTTAATTAAATGCTTCCGCTAGTTACTACTACTAGCCCCAAACCATTCGTATACTTATGAAAAATGTTATCTGCTACTTTTAATGGTCCAGTGGCTATCTCGCTCTTACAACTTGATTACTAACATTGATGAAAATATTGATATATTTTAGAACAATCTTCCAAATACCGTAATAGTCCGGTCAATTTAGACCTAAAAATGAGAGTGAAGTTACATAAAGTCCCAACAAGCTGAATTTCAGTGAAATTGTTCAAAACATAATTATAAACAATTTAGAAGTTCCCCATCATTCCCGTGTAAGGAATATTTTTTATTCAAAGTCAAAGGTCAAAAAAAGGAGTTTTTCGCGATTTTCAGCAAAACGGTAAGTTTTATCATAAAAGTACCTCAGACAAAAATTGTAGATCATACAATTATCTATAAAAAATGTATCAATACTTTTTTTCATACGAGCCACCGTTTCTGAGATATCACGATTAAAAAAGTTATAAAAGTTGTTATCGTCATAATATGCATGAGTACGCCACGTATATACATCTAGAGTTGTTATATAATATATATATATATATAATATGCATGAGTACGCCACGTATATACATCTAGAGTTGTTATATAATATATATATTATACAAATGATGGTGTAGTAGGCTACAGTAAAATAAATGTTAAAGATTTTGTTTATGGAACTGAAACAGTATCTTTTCTCAAAAAAGCTGATGTAGTATGGTTTTATGGAAAATGGAAAAATGAGTCTTTACCCGTTTGGAATGGTTTTATTGAACGTTTAACAAATAATCATACGAATTATTCTAAATCTCAAATTTCATTTTTACCATTTATTCACCAACCAGCCAGTAACTATAATACTATCTATACGACTTTACTTTGTGCATTAGAGAATGCAAAGCGGTATGGCCACACTGTATGCATCGTGACTTTCGACCAGCCCCTGTATGCTAAAGCTCGAGAAATTGGCGCACCTGAGAGGGCTCTGAATTATCAAAAATCATCATCAGACTTGGAGGATTTCATTTACTGATGTCTTTTACGGGAGCAATTGGTCATATTATGCAAGGAAGCGGCATGAAAGAAGTACTAGCAGAGATCTATGCTTCAAAATCATTAGAAAAAATGCTCAATGGTCATGCTTACGCAAGAGCTGTTCGAGCTCATACACTACTTCAGCTTACTTTGGCAATTATAATATTAAAAGAAGTTGAAATAAATGACATAATGGATGCAGATGTCATCATAAATATCGAGCATATATTAGGTAATACTCTTTCATACAATGATATTGAAAATGATGATGAAGTATCTGGAGCTTTACTTAATAAATTTAATCAAAAACTAAAAGAATATGAGGAGCGAGGACCAACTGCAAAACTTTGGATTCAATATATTGAATCACAAACAATGGAGGATTCGTTTGACTCCGACGAAGTATCATGCGATACATCGCTATTGACGCAATTTTGCATCCAAAATAAAGATGAAGAAGAAGCAGGAGAAGAAAATCAAGAATTTGAAACTTACGAATAAGACGAATAAACTTTAACACTTTTTTTAATTTACATCGCTTTTATCTTTCCCAATCTGAAAATTTCCGTTATTTTGCAATAGTTTTACATTAAACAGGATCACAACTGACCCGTGGTCCCGAGTAGGCCTACTGGGGAAACCACGTTAAAAAAAAACAAAGTACACAACCTCATAGGTGGCGTGGAAACGTGTGCATATTATGACAATAACAACTTATATATATCTCAGAAAAGGTGGCTCGTAAGAAAAAAAGTATAGGTACATTTTTTATAGATAATTATATGATCTACAATTTATGTCTGAGGTACTTTTATGATAAAACTTACCGTTTTGCTGAAAATCGCAAAAACTCATTTTTTTGACCTTTGACTTTGAATAAAATTTTTTCCTTACACGGGAACTTCTAGACATTGTTTATAATTATGTTTTGAACAATTTCACTGAAATTCAGCTTGTTAGGACTTTATGTTACTTAGAATGTCTAAATTGACCGGACTATAACTTTGTTTACCATGCTCTTATTGAGGGTTAAATTTCTATTTCATTTTGGTTTTCATTCGTTTTTTGCTTTGTTTTTTATTGTGTGGTTTCTTGTTTAATTTTTTCCCTTGCTAGCTTGCTTATGTTCTAATATTATTCATGTGTATGTCACACATACGTGTGTAAAATTTGTGGTGTCATATTATCTTGTACAATTTAATGCATACACGTTGTTTAAGAACTTATAAATAAAATAATGAAATAGGTTTTAGAACAGATATACGTATATCTTTCAGCGTTGCAGGTGACCATGGAGAACAGCTTAGTCTGTTACGATATATCAAACACGTAATTTAGTTCGTTTTATTTTAAGTATAAAGTGATTTACTTTTCTTGATATTTATTAAAAAATCGCAAGATGTAAAATTTAAAAAAAAAATTATACTTCCGTAATTAATTACCTAGTGATCTGTGTTGGCCTAGTGGCTTCGGCTTGCGTAGGTTCGCGCCCCGGCTGTGGTGCACCGGACTTTCTTTCCATAGGCGCATTTAAGATTCACTCAAACGATGAAGGAAAACATTGTGAGGAAACCGGCTTGCCTTAGACCCAAACAGTCGACGGTGTGTCTCAGGCAGAGGAAGCTGATCACCTACTCGCCTATTAGATTGACAAATGATCATGAAACAGATACAGAAATCTGAGGCCCAGGCCTAAAATGGTTGTAGCGCCACTTATTTATTTTATAATATTTATTAAGTAACACTAGAAATACTAATTATAAATACTCTTGATAAAGAATTGACGTCATTAATATAGATTCTGACTTTCTTCTTCATCTTCACATAGATAACATTAGCTTGATTACATCTTAGATTTTTTTGTGAAAAGATGACAATTGACTATACTGTGCTAATTTGACAGAATACAATGAATGTCGGTTTTCACTATCATTAACTCATTCACTAAGCTGATGTATTAACTACCGTGTGAACATATAGACAAAATAAAATAACATCAATCAAAGTAAGAAAAATTTTCTCTTCAAAAGTCGGTATACATATATTTTTAATTTACGCGAAAGTTGCACGAGTTTCAAAATAAAAATGAATATATTTATATGATATAATAATACTATCCTGGTTGTAATGAAAACTACGACATGGAAATCTAGTTTAGTGATGGGGTTTTCCCCTGTTAACGCTTTTCCAGAAAGAAAGTTGTTAAAGCAACATTAATTTTTATTTTATTTTAAATTTTTGTGTTTCTTGGTTAGAAGACTAAAATTCACTTTAATACAATAATTTTAAATCTGAACGATTAAAAGTTAAATTGCCAAAAAGCTTACTTATATCCGCCATTTAGGAGACATCCGCATATCAAAGAAGGTCACAGCAGACATTAAATTAAACCCGTCTATGTATTCAAACGTGTTAAGAAAGTAGTATGTATAGCCCTGCTTTCTCACGATCCAGCCAGTGCAACCTTGGACGTGAAAGCGCGAGCCCGCGCAATTCAAAATAGCCGCGCGTTTTGACAGTTGACATTCGAAATGGCTCACCAAAAAGTTTTTATATTCCTCTTAATTTTTGGTACAGTACAGAGTGCTAGCATATTAGAGAGTTCTTATGATTATGTAATGAATTTAGGGAAGAATTTTGCTCCTAGTTTTATGTCTATTTTGGACTGTTTCGGTGGAGATGATGCTTGGGGTTGTGCTAAAGAAAAGGCGGGGAAAATGCTCGACGGATGGGATAAGGAAGTTGACAAACAGAGGAGAATGTGGCGAGGTAAATTATTTTTGAAAACAAAAATTAATTAATTAACATAATATTATACACTTAAGAAAGTAAATAAATTAAGTAAAATTAATTCACTAGAAAAAATTTCATAGACTAATATATATTTTAAACCATATTCAGTGCTGTACTTTTATATTTTTACCCGTAATAAATTAATTAAAATGTGAATAAATAATAACATTCACATTTCTTACATCTAAATCATTACATCACATGGAGTTATATATTTTCCTATATATATCACAGTTGAAGTCCAGTCTAGCTCTAAACGACCTGAATCCTAAACACCATTACCGGGGCGGTTAATTGTAAAATATCAAATTATGTATATATGTATATGTACTAAGAATCCTAGGATATATACGGAAATATCGCGTTAACACAGTTTCAATCTCAGTTAAGGTGTTTCATATTATGGCTAGGAGAGAAGCGAGTTTCCGTTTCACGTTTAAAATACGAAAATTTAAAATTATATCTTGAACTGAAGACTGAGATTTAATTGATGAAAAACTGTTATCTATTTTAAAGCTATTATAATCAAACTTTAAGTAGTGTTATTGAACACTTCCTTATGTTAAAATTAGTTTTAAATTACTTATTAGTCTTAAGTTTTTTAAGAAATTTTTAATTGTGTCTTTGTGCAGAGACAAGAGAGATTTATATTTTAAAAAAATATATAAATTAAACAGGAAAAGAATCTTTAAAATATTCAACCTAAAATGGTTAGAAATTATAAGCGCTATAAATTCTTAAAATAGTTTTGATTTACCTTCATAATAATAATACAAGTTTTATAACGCGTATTTCATGGCGTATACCTAATCTTGCTGTGTTCACGACCGCGGAATACGCAGTTATAACAATACTTCACACTTTCAACGAGCCCAATAATTATTATCATCATACAATTATATTTCTTACCTGCTTACCTGATTTTCATAATTGAATTGTGGCAATGCCACACACAAGTTTGGATGCAATGGGATTCATCCTGGGGTTTATTATAAAAAGTCAATTTTACTGTGTCTGTTACGATGCTATTACCACATAAAAAACTGCTAACCATTTTAATGCACACCATAGCTACTTATTTAAAATAAGAAATAAAACTTTATGTCCAACATGTTTTTTTTTTGTGGAACTTATAGCTAGGTTAAAAGCCGGCAACGTAACAATTAAAATGGTTGCCCATGGGCTGCGATGACTGCCCGTTATGGGCGTCCCGTTTGCCCCCTTTATATATCCACAATAGTACTATAACATACATTAAAATAGTAATTCCTTTAATCTTTTCGTGAATATTTACGTAATATTTAATAATTGTTCACTTTCTACATAATTTCTCTGATTTCTCTTGTTTCCTTTTTAAATATGTGTTTTAACTTATATGTAGACATTGTAGTGAAATCCTTTTGAAAGAAATTACATATTTATAATTAACTCCTTAATAAGAAATAGTTTTATTAGTTCTAATAAAACATAGTCTATGAATTTGCTTGTTCTGTGAATACATTAAGTTGTGTATTTAAAATGTTAACACGACATTGTCTTACAAAGGTATCTTTAAAAATTATATTGCCGTTAGCGGTTAATCTGTCACCCGAACGAACTTGCTCACCAACTCACCATAGAACAGTATATGAGACAAATAAAACGTCACCAAATTCTAGAGCTAGAAGACCGGCAGTAGCTCTAGGCAGAAGTTGAGTAGATGCTTCAAATCGGAAGCCACAGACATGACAGATTCGCTTAAAGACTTATTGCAAATACGTGCTGAAGAAAAAGAAAGGTTTCCATACCTAAACAAACCCTAGCATTTAGCAGACTATCGGATCTATTTATAAATTATAGTAAAAATTTGTTAATCTATAAAAATTTAGTTTCTATACGTAAGGTATTCCATTACGATTAGTTAGTTTTTCGATATTATATGTTATCTTTACCTACATTTGTATATATATATGTTTTGTATGTTAAAGATGCTATACGGTTAATTATTATTTTCAGATGCCGCTGATGCCGAAGTAAGATCATCCGGACGTTCTCTACAAGAAATGCCATCAACCCTCGGGAAAGAGATCGAGGAATCTCTTCTTTCCCTTTCTGATATGGTACAGAACGGCATGGCCAGGTATGTACAGATAGTGGATGTAAGACTACAACAACAACAACCAAATTTTAACCTTAACTGAGAGAAACTTTATTTGGTTTAGTTACATACAAATGTTGTTTTAAAAAACTGGTCTATGGATACGTGATTCATTTACATAACACATATTTAAAATGTTAAGATACTTTTAATAGGGCGTCCATAATTTTTATTGATTCGAATAATTAAAATCTAAAACTAAGTCTAACTAGAGTTAAATTGCTTGCACTATAAATATATAGCTTATCTATGTGTGTACATGTAAGACAAACGTAAAATTTTCTATAAAACACACAGCTACACGCTTTTACTGATCTAATTTAATGGAAGACAGCAGTGTTGGCCTAGTGGCTTCAGCGTGCGACTCTCATCTCTAAGGTCGTAGGCTCGATGCCCGGCTGTACACTGATGGACTTTCTTTCTATATGTGCGCATTAAACATTCGCTCGAACGGTGAAGGAAAACATTGTGAGGAAACCGGCTTGTCTTAGACCCAATAAGAAGTTGACGGCTTGTGTCAGGCACAGGAGGCTGATCACCTACTTGCCTATTAACAAATGATCATGAAACAGATACAGAAATCTGAGGCCCAGACCTAAAAAGGTTGTAGCACCACTGAATTCTTTATTTTTTTTGGTAATTTAATCACCATTCAAAAATAGAGTTTATTGGATTGATAATAATTGTTTGAATATAATGAAATGAAGTTGACAGATGATCATGAATCATATTCTGAAATCTGAGGCCCAGCTAAAAAGGTTGTAACGCCACAGATTTTTTTCATCACTCCATTAACCATTTAATTAAATTACACTTATAACAGTACTAATTAAACAAGAAAACAGGGAAAATCAAAATTCGGCTCTAGACAAAGAGAATGGAAAAATCCATTCATTAAACAATAGTATTGATTGCTATCAAAAGAGAAACTGGTCTACATAAGGAAACACCTTACTCATTGGTATTCGTCAAATTTCACTGACCCCAAACGTCACTTTCACTACCACATGTGATCGTGGATTTTGTTTACAATTAGCTGCTACGATAAAAAACTTTTCCATATCACGTTTACCTGTAACTTGTGCGTAGGACTTTTTTTTCGTCGTTAATGATTAATAGGTTAAAATCTGTGGCGCTACAACTATAAAAATCTTATTTATCGACGTCTCGGGCTTTACAGATGTCGAGTATCTGTTTAGTATGATCATTGATGTCAGTTTTAATAGGCGAGTGGGTGATCAGCCCGTGTGCCAGACACACGCCGTCGACTTTTTTGGGTCTAAGGCAAGCCGGTTTCCTCACCGTTCGAGCGAATGTTAAATGCGCATATAAAGAAAATCCATTGGTGCACTGCCGGGGCTCGAATCTACGACCTCAGGGATGAGAGTCGCATGCTGAAGCCACTAGGCCAACGCTGCTCAATCCAAATATGTAACATTATATTTGACCGATTTCTATGGCATGCACATAGAGAAATTCACGATTAATTAAGAAGTCCTTATCTACTGATATCATTAATATATCTACGACTATATTATTTATTACATTTGTTTGTGTAGTTAATTTCCATGGTCGTATTGTAAAAAAAATACATGATATTTCTAAAGATAGCGTGATCAGTTTTAACTTGCATAATTATGACTATGATTTACGACGGCTATTTACTTAATGTTCAGATGGTGTAAGCTTCTTAGAGGCCAAGTTACATATAGGTTTAAGGTCCCGACTTTCACTAACAGAGGTGTGTTAGTTAAGTATAACATTACATATTGATTTAAGTAAAAGTTGCCTGTCATTGTTTACAAATTAAATTTAGCTTAACGTGCGTCCATTCAACTGTTGTTTTAGTGAAAATGAACTAAGCAAATAGATCATTTTCTACAAACTTTACTTTGGTTTTAGACAATTAAAAGTCTACACTTCAAAATTCAAAAAAAATTATTCAATAACAAGTTACATTTTTAGCCGATATTGGAGCCCCTGAAATAGGAAGACCTGTACATCAGGGTACTCCGCTCTTCCAATGGTTTAATGAAATAGTAACTTAACAATAATTAAAACCAAAATACTATATTATAAAGAAAAACAGAAAGCTAAGACTAATTACTAAACTAAGGATACAGGTGTTCATGGTTGAGACATTTTTACACACTAGAATGATAATCTTAGGGACACTTATATTACTCCTTCCTGCTCACACCTGGATATAAATAACTTGATGCTTTGATGTAAAACTCTATTTTCCAGGGCGTTAGCCAGGAAAAAACACGATGGAGGCTTAGATAGTATCACAATTACAACGTCAAGCGAGAAGAAGAAGAAAATGAAGAAAAAGCAGAAACCACCCAAAATACATCTACATCCAATCGTCATGCCGATGAAACAGGCTGAAGAGAAAGGTCACTTAGTAGAAAAGAAGGGATTGGAATTAGAAGGAAGGCGTGTGGAGAATGTTGGAGTAGAGGGAATGGAAAGAAAGGGAAGGGTCTTGGAAGGGAGAGGAATTATAGAAGATATGTGGAAGATTGGGGAGGGAGCATTAGATGCTGTAGCTGATCACGTATTGGAAAAAGAGAATGCGGAGAATGGATTAGCTGATCGAAGCACGGTAGCAGGTGATGGTTCTTAGTAGTTTTAGATACTGGGCCAATTCTGGTAAATTTAAGTAGCACCTTCACCACAAAATACAAAAAAAAACTCTCTGTCTGTAAAGCCTGAGTTGACCAAAACCTATAAATTTTCTTGAATTATGATCGCGGTTTTACTAGTTATAAATATTTAAAGAAAATATATTGTGTCAGTCTCGCTTTGATAGACATTTTTATGTCCACCCTTATTTTTGTTTGGCTTCAAAATATATGTACATTTAGCCCTTTGAACTTGAAAACGTTTTAATAAAATAGAGAAATTAGGTGCCGTTTGGAAGAGGCGTGTTAAATTACACTGTAGTTGCTGAGATTGGCGCTGACTAGTTTTTCTATTTGGATTTTGAACTATTTTTGTGGTAGATTGTTTGTGTTTCTGTTATTTATATTACATTATCTATTTTCCTATTCTAAGCATGACGAGTACACAAGGTAAGAAGGTAGATGATAGTTATGTAATCAAAATGTAGAAAAGTACACTCAGTTTTTCAGAGGTTAGAATTAGACGAATTCATTCTCGTAACAAGCAACACTAAGTCGAAATGTCTGCGTACGAATAAATTATCTGTAGTAATAGCATAATGTAACGAAAACTTGCACTAGCCAGTTTGCGTGAGAACACGCCGTGAAAATATTTTGCTCAAGATCTCATTAACATTATAATTAAAGACACGACTTTCTAGTGTCTCAAATGCTTTTACATATTTCGTAACAGGGCAATGTTTTCAAATGCTATTTTTTGAAACAAAACATTGCGTTGGAACCTGCAATTTTGAATCCGCCGTTGCCGACTCCATTTCGATTCGATTTCCGCCCAAACAATAATTATTTCTGGCTCTCCTAACTAATAATAATGCGATGCATGAGTATTTACTTGGGTATAATTATAGAGCAAAGAGGTAAAAAGAAGAAGAAGAAGAAGGCTATCCTGAAACTTCTACTCCTCGGAGCCGTTCTGAAGGCCAAGATCGGGACACTGCTTCAGATTCTATCCTTCAAGTTGCAGGTATGCCTCGACATTAGTACGAAACAATTTTATGATAATAATTAAATTTCTTAATCGCCCAATATAATTTGTTACAGGTGAAATTCTTCATAATTGCGTTGATTGGTCTGGGCATCAATTTGGCGCGATTCTGGGTGGAGTTAAAAAGAAACACCAGGAACCACAGAAGGTAAGAATACACAAAAAATTTAGTCAAACCACCACTGTCTGACGTGTACGACTGCGGTATTGCTATTTGACAAAAAAATGGCAAAACTTTTATATAGTAGTGTTCTGAGACCCGTGCTTGTGAATTACGGCAGTGCACCAATGGACTTCTCAATCTATGAGCACAATTAACAAAATTAAATTTCGCTTGTACGGTGAAAGAAAGCATCGTGAGAAAACTGGCACAAAGGCTAATAAAAAACTTGTCTAACAAGAAAGAACACGAAATCAATTCAGTAATTTGGGACCAAAACCTAGGTTCTATATAGTAGTTTAACTTTTACGCATTCTTATTTATCACAGGTGTGCAATTAGTCTTTATTAACTATCTCTCATTTATTAAAACAAAAGTGAAAGTCGGTAGGCATTGTACATATAAATGACAACCCATTAGTTAAATTATCATAATTATAATTATTATATACTTAACCTGCACAGCATAACTTTCTTAAATACTCATGTTAATCGACGTCATTAATTGAAATAAAGCCGTAATTATTATTATTACTTCTATGGGACCTATACTTTCATGGTGTGATAATTGCCTAGTTGTCAAACGGTTTTGCAATTTGGTAACAAAAGTGAACCGAATCATTATGGCTGAATATTATGTATTGGTAATAAAATATTCACTGGAACATGATTTATGCTCATAAAACAAAATTACTGCATTATTGTATGCTTATACACATTGATAAAAATTCATCGTTATAAATATATAAGTTAAACTAAATAAGTTTAACTTAATTTTCATTCTACTTTTTTATTTTTTATTATTTCTACATATACATATATATAAACTTAGAGTTCGAAAAACCCCAAACAATTGCTAAGGGGTGTAACCTTCGTGCCTGAAAGGCTTCACCAAAGTACAAATTTAAATTCTTTATAAACTAATTAATTAAAGTACAATTAATACAAATAAACGAAATGACATTACAACAAACAGAAAAAAATGACACCTTACAGTTGTACCCACTAGAGTCGTTTATTTTCCGCGCAAATGGTTTACATTTAACTTAATAAAAGATAGAGGAATCAACATAACAACGGATGCCGCTGGCGGAAGACAAATCGGGAAAGGGTAATGGATCGTCAGAAGAAAGTTTGCCAAAGGGAAGAGGCGTGGAAATTCGCAGAATTTATTGAGACCTTATTCAAGATAAGAAGCGCCGTAAGCCCCTGATAAATACCATAACCAGATAAAGTAGGAAACTACAGAGAAAGCTTGCGGTGAAACTGTGATTAATACTTCAACCGCCTGCGCACGCATTAAAAAATAACTAAGGAAATAATCGCATTTGTATTGCCAGCCTACGGCCCTAGAACCTCGATAGACGGAGATTTTTTTTACAGTAGTGGTTTGACTTTTATATTATACGTCGGTTTTTTAAATACTACTTTACTTGAGGCTGGTTTCGGTAAATGGATACTCCATTAGGCAAAGTACCTACTATATTTTATCGAGTGTCATGCTTTCTCAGTACTGTTTCTTTCTTCGTATTATTTATTTATTTACTTGCCATATACACTAATACACTATTCCTTTGGTAATATTTTACTATTTTAGTTGGACCCACGACATAAATGAGAATTTTTAATTGAGTTAATTAGTACCTGGTGTTAACTTCTGTAAATAATTTCACTCGTTCTTCTGACAACAAGACAAGTAGAGATCTAGAATTTCCTAGCTCTCTACGGAATGTAGTTCTGCAATTTTTTATTTTCCTTAAAAGCGATCTTTCTTATCGAACTTAGAGAGGCTAGTTTCCTTGCTGTTTATTCATAATTGAATAATACTCATGATTCACCCAGACAGTGCTTTCACCGACCTTATATTGACCTGAAATTAAACTCAACTGATAAATTCTCGGTATTTTGTTATAGTAAAAGTTATGATCATTTCTAGTATATTTAAATTTACAAAATCAGGAAGGGTTACATTATACATATTTAATAATTACATACATAGTTTATTCTCCACATATAAATCGTTACAGAGATTAGGCCCCACAGCCAACTCATATACGTAACACAATGTACACTTATGAACGTCAAAAATAAATATATATTTAATGCTTCTAATTTTTACATTTACTGCCAATTCTCAAATAAAGGGCGTAGAAGGGAAGAGAAGAACAATAAACTCTCCGCCACTCTAGTCTCTATTTAATCTCCAAATTTTTTGTTTTACACAATGTTTGTAAGGAGCTGCAACCTTTACACCATGTTCCACATGACATCATACGTAATTAAAAGTTAAATGACCATGAGAACGTGAGACGTTTACCATGAGAGTTTAAATTAATATTATTATTTAAAGCAGGTAGTATGTCCGACCCCAGTAACTTTAGACCAATTTCCGTACTACCTGCTTGTAGTAAAATATTTGAAAAAATTATATTAAATCAACTGGTAAGTCATTTTAACGTAAACAAATTATTACATAATAATCAGTTTGGTTTTACCAAGGGTCGCTCGACAGCCGATGCCGGTGTTGAGTTATATAGATATATAGCTAGGGCTTGGGAGGAGTCGCATACGCTTTAGGTGTTTTCTCGATTTATCCAAAGCATTTGATTGTGTCCAACACAACCTTAATCGGAAACTCCGCCACTATGGCATCAAAATACCGCACTGAATCTTCTGACTTCCTATTTACACGGAAGAACTCAGAAGGTTGAAGTGAATGGTAAGAGGTCCTCTGGGTCGGCAGTAGATATGGGGGTACCACAGGGCTCAATTCTTGGCCCTTTCCTCTTTCTTGTTTATATAAATGATCTACCGTTCATGGTAGAGAGAAAACATCAGATAGTTTTGTTTGCTGATGACACGTCCTTGATTTTTAAAATCAAACGACAAATAACAAATTTTGACGATGTGAACAATGCTCTGTCTTCGATTGTCCATTGGTTTAGTATGAATAACCTTCTACTTAATGCAAAAAAGACAAAATGCATTAAATTTTGTGCAAAAAATGCAAGGGTTATGGATACTAACCAATTATAAACAGTGAGGAATGAATCTGGATGATACAACTTATTTCTCGGAATCACCATGGATTCAAAACTTCAGTGGTCCCCTCATATTAACGGATTGGCGAAGAGACTTAGTTCTGCAGCCTACGCGGTTAAAAAAATTCGCTCACTAACTGATGTCGATACAGCTAGACTTGTTTATTTTAGTTACTTTCATAGCTTAATGACTTATGGCTTATTATTATGGGGTCATGCTGCTGATGTCGAAACTATTTTCATCCTGCAGAAGAGGGCTATTCGTGCAATCTATAATTTCAAATGTAGGGAATCTCTTAGAGATAAATTCAAGGAAATTAATATACTTACCTTTCCCTCGCAATATATTTATGAAAATATTATGTATGTATACAAAAATAGTGATAAGTTTACTAGAATAGAATATACGCACAATGTTAATACACGGAACAAACGCAGGCTGCAATTTCCCCGTACTAGACTATCTAAAGTTAGTAATTCTTTTTTGGGGAAAGGGATAGTCTTCTTTTAATAAAATCCCAAGGCTCTTTTATCACTGCCTTTCAATAAATTTAAGAAATGTATTAAAGAAAAGCTGTGTAAAAGGCTTACTATAAAGTCAACATTATCTAGTTGATAAAAGGGCCTGGGACTAGTGCTAGACAGGCTACTTCTAATTAATTTGCGATATTTGTTTTAAATAAGTGTTGTTTGATGATTTGCTGTTTTAAAAGAGTACCGAGAGTTTTTTACGCCGGCTTTTTCTCTCGGCCTACACCCTCTGTCTTCTTTGCCGATGAGTAGGGATGCCTTCAAATTGAATGACGTGGAATAAGTGATACATGTATCTTATGTTCCATAATAAACATATTTTATTTTATTTATTTTATTTTTAACAAAATATATGCGCTAAAATGACCAGTCGTAAAGCCGATGTTATGATTTTGGTAGTTTTCATATTATTTTGATTACTGTTAAGTTATGTAAGTCTGATATGTTTTGTTCTGTAAATCAAAAGGTCTATATTTCATTGCAGGTGATATACTACGAACACGCTCAACATCAACACCACTACGACCATGAGGAAGAACCAGGCTGGGGACCATGGTCAAGGAGTATTATCCCGGAGGTAACCTTTGAAAACTATTACAGAATATCTATTTCCCTAATAAATATGTATGAAGCAGGTGTTAAAAAAAGAAGGGAAAATAAATATATCCTGTATTCGAGTCCTATAATTAGGATTACATGAAGTTTATGTTATTATATATAATATACTATATACTACCTCCAACGGAGTGTATTTTGAGTCTATTTTCCAATTATTCATATTAGGGATCAATATTTTTTTAATGTAACATAGCCTATATCAGTCAGTGAAGATGGAGCTTTCTAATGAGAAAGAATTTTTGAAATAGGTCTAGTAGTTTTTGTGTGAAAACATTACAAACATACATACAAAAACACAAATGTTTCCCCTTAATAATATTAGTATAGATCCCCAGGTTTCTGATGGGCGTAGTATTTTTTTTCTTTAAGGCTTAAAATTTCAAAACGACTATTTCTTTTTCAGGAGAACGAAGAGACTGACGCCGAAGTTTCTCCATACAGAGTCCAAGAAAAAGCACAGATGTATCCAACTAAGCCCCTCCTAACTTTGTCTTAACACATTAATTTCAGTTCAGCCAATTAGTTTGAATTAAGAGTCATATTTACTTTGAAGTACAATTGAGGCTTTGCGATCGCAAATTAGTATAAGTTATTTATTAATATTTAATTTTGTAAATATCTTATTTTTGTAAATATTATTTTGTAAGTAAGTGTTTTTATAATAAATGTTTATTATTTATTTGTGACGTGTGTGCATGTAGATATTTATTTGGATATCAATTAAAGAATTATTACACTTTAAAAGTTTTTAATTGAGAGTATAAGACCAAGAGAATATTTTTTTAGGTTCCAAAACAAAAATATAAATAAATCTAATACCATTCCACGAAGGAAACCATTTACAATAATTATGTCGTAAAATATCCTACAGAGAGAAAATATAGGAACAGCAAAGTACAAATGGGATTAGTATTTTTCTGTTGAATTAAACAAGATTACAGTATATTGGTTTTTAATTATTTTATTTACACCGTTTGTTGATAACTTTCAAAAACTGAGAACCTCTGTCTAAAGTACTTGGGATATTTCTCTTGTTGGTGTAAAAGTTCTCTCCATCTCTGCTGTCCACCTATTGGGTAAAAATGAAAGACGCACATAAAAAACCAAAAAATATATTTTTTCATTATTATATACGATAACACATTTATTTACGTACATATACAGGCACACACACTCTCTCTAACGGCCGAATACTATCGCGGGGAATATCTGGGATTCTCTGGAGCATACGTGAAACTTCTGAGCTCGTACGAAACGCTATTTTGATTTTCGTAACATATTTCGCGCTTAATCTCGCTGTCAAATTCACTGCAACCGCCAAACACGCGATTGGGGGTTCGATTCGAAATCCCGTTTTGTGATTGGTCGGTTTGACGTTCTGAGCTCTGATTCGCCGACGCGGCTGCTGTGTCGTCGCGATTGGTCGGAATCGGTCTGAATAAGGCGGAATGTGCTGTGGCCGTGTCGACATCGGCTTTGCGAGATACTAGGATACGAATGTCTGTGTGGAGGTAGAGTTTTCCTGATTTGGACGTCATGAACCTGCAAATAAAATAAACTTATTCTAAAGACTTTTCACTTATTAACATACATATATTATATATATACAACTTTGGTGAACATTTTTAGCGTATGCGTCAGTTTTATTTATATGAATTTGAAAATTAATCAAATAATAAATGATTTATGAAACCATGCGAGAATAAAGATTCCATTTAAGATTTAGCTTATCAAAATTGTTTTCGATGGCACATGAAGCTGCACGTTCTCTTGCTTAACATTGCCTGTGGAAGAATCAAACGTGTTCGCCAAATTACACTTGAGAGAGTATGAGTCAACTCTCGTACCAACCTCAAATGTATCAAATATCTCAGCCACTTGTGCATTTCGTGGGTTTTAGGCGGATCAGCACCGGCAGGCATATACAGCGTCCTCTGGCGGAGGAAGGTGCGCGCGAGTGGCGGCATATTGGTCAAGTCGTACAGGACCACGAACATCTTGACCAGGGTCCCGTGGGGGTTGAACAGGGACACCTGAATGGTGCCGGAACGGGCGACGCGGTACCCACCGGGACCGAGGTTTATGTGACCCTGAATTTGGAGAGAATCTAATAAATCATAAATAAAATATAACATTATATTGGATATTAAATTAAATAAATCAGGGGCGCTACAACATCTTTAGGTCTTGGCCTCAGATTTCTGAATCTGTTTCATGTCTAATAGGCAAGTAGGTGATCAGCCTCCAGTGTCTGACACACGCCGTCGACTTTTTGGGTCTAAGACATGACGGTTTTTCCTTCACCGTTCGAGCGAATGTTAAATGCGCATATAGAAAGAAAGTCCATTGATACACCCAGGATCGAACCGGCGATCTCAGGTATGAGAGTCGCACGCTGAAGCCACTAGGCCAACACTGCTAGTATTGGATATTACAGATTATATTTATTTTAGCAGATAAAGAACAGAAATAGTCCTATTCACTAACATACAGTCATGTCTCGTTAGAGAATGTTTTGGCCATATATATTTCAAGTGACATACGAGTGATAAAGATGAAATATTCAACAGCATCTCGGGGTTAATGAACCACAATACAATTTATGAAGAAGTTGACATTTTCCACCTCACGAAAGAGGGTGTGAGGAAATATTTAGCAGTAGTCACCATTTAGTTTTTTCTTTAAAATATTAAGATAACAACATCTTTAATAATCTGTTAATGTTTAATTTCAGTTTTCTATTTATTATCTATTAATGTACTTAATTGTGTTTTGTTTTCTGTTTCATATATTGTGTTCTTATTGTATGAAACACAATTGCCTATAAGATATCGAGTTCTACCGCAAGTGAAATCTAGTATTAAATATCACTGGTGACATGAAATATATCACTAATCCCAAAAACGCACCATGTACGGCGCGTTGGTGCCACCGGGCGCATAGAAGAACACGGTAACTGGCAGTCGTCTGTGCGGTGGGCAGAAGGCCCCAGAGGCCCCGAGCTCTGCGGTGAAGCCGTGCACCGTCGCCACTGGCTCCAGCCGACCCTTGAGAGCAGACTCCTCGAAGCTTCCTGCAAGGATGAAGGGAAAAGAATGAAACTCATTTCCAACTATGTATTATCTGTTCTTCTCGCTTATAACCAACTTAGCTTAACAGTAATGTGGTAACAATTTATAAAATAAAAAAATGTATTTTCTTTACGTAATAGTAAACCATCACAGAATTTTCCTTTGCAGTCAATATAAAAGAATGTATCAGAACGTTAAGCTCATTTAAAAGAACTTAAAATCAGAGAAATAAAATATTCCTTGAGTACATTACATGTATATCTTACCCAGCAAGCCCGTACTGGTTCCAATCCTAAGTTTGGTTGCGGGCATCTTCTTCCTTTGCGGTGTGTCAAGAGGTGCCGGTCGCTGAGTGCGAGGGTGAGGCGCCCGTGGCCGCGTAGGGGACACGGGAGACACGGCAGCGGGGGACGGGGGGGATATCGGGTGGAATAGAGCGCTGAAAGAATAATAATGTATGACAAATATAAGATACCTCTGTCTTACTATTAGTTCATCAAAACCAACTTAAACTGGCAGCCCCACAGGCACAAAAAGGATTGTCTAAAAAAATATCACAAATGCTAGTCGAACATCTCACCTTTTAATGCCAGAGACTCCGTTGATCGAATCGTCAAAGTCGAAACAATTATTTCCCCGACGCAGCGGTGCAGGACTAGAAGTCAAGGGCAGACCGGTTTTGGTGTGGAACACCATGGATGCAGCCGAGTCGAAGCGCCAGCGGAACCTGTCCATCTCCGTCGGAGACGGAATCTGATTCTCTTGTCCTTTTCTGTCCGCATCCGATTGTGTGCCCTGTCTCGTTTTCTCTAATTCTAAATTATTGTCAGCTATATTTTCAAAAGGCTTATACGTTCGATCGTCACTTCTACCGAGTTCACCATTGGACGAGTTAGACTCTGGATTATCGGGGAATTTGAAGGGATCCTCTTCTTTCGGAGATTCCATATCACATTTGTCAATAGATCCATAGTCGCACTTCTCAAAGCACACATAATCTTCGTTTATGGAGTACGTCTTCTGCCGCTTGGGTTCCGGTTTGACCGAGAACACCGTGTCGTCATCGCGTAAATTCAACTCTGCTATATCACTGTTGTGAACCCTGTCGTTTATGACTCTCTCTATCCGGTCCACTATTGGGAAGAAACGTCTGAGCTTCGGCCGTTTTATAACTTCATCACACTTATCACTACTTATATCACTATTTATATCACATTTAAGCTTTTTTAGAGAACGTTCGTCTTCTTCGTACTTCCGCCTCGTTCCGTTCTCTATTAAGGCCAAGTCGTAGCTGCCTTCCGATCTGACCATGCCTCTGTCCAGGCAGCCGGGGCACTTCATCTCGACGGCGTTTCCGCACCGACACTGAACGTCGTCCGTCTGAGTCCCGATCGTGTTGGTCCTCTTGAACTCGAACGGCGGAACGTCGACCGGCTCTACGAATGGAGATCTGCTTTCTATTCTACTGGCGGGTAATGTCAGGTAAGTCTGATTCCGGTAGCGGCCGATGGCTCTAAACCTATCGAATCTGGCCGCCTGTAGGATCGGTATCGAGGTGTGAGTCTCCTTCTTCGCTTCGCCGTCGGATGACGTGCTATCACAGAGTTTTTTGAGTTTGCTCTCTTTCCTCAAACGTCGTTTGTATTTAGCTATCTCCTTCAGCCGCCTCTCGTCCAACATCTTCGTCTCCTGCTTCTTGTCGTCCGACTCATCGTCACAGCTGCACTTATGCTTTCCGCTCTCGCTGCAGGGCGTCAACATACGATCGTCGAGGAGCTTTTTATCACAGGAAGAGTAAAGGTACTCCGTGGAGAGGCGCCTACCGCCGACGCCGACGTTGGAGTTGATGGCGTCGGAGGGGTACTTCCTCGGGCCCAGAGTGAGATCGTTGAGCTTCCCCACCAGTTCTTCGTCGTCGACGCTGGGTCTCCGTTTGCAGGTGCATTTGACGTGAGGGATCTTGTCTAGCCTCGGGAGGCTCTCGAGGGATACTTTGAGGTAGAGGTCGGTGCCGATGTCCGCTAGGGGGAAGGTGTGGTCGGTGGGGGGACGGGAAAAGTCGGGGAGGTCTCTCCCGGCAGCTTGATGGAGTAGATGATGTTCAGCTTGCGCTCGTCCAGTTCAGTCTCGTCACAGTTGGCTTCGATTTTCTTAAAGTTGCACGACTCGCGGCTGAGTTTTCTCCTGCAAACACATAGTGTAAAAATTTACTTAAATAAGTCATATTTATTATTCCTGTAGCTTTAAAGCTCATTATGTCTGCTGTTGAAATATAATATATATACTTTTGCTATACCTTCGTTCAGCAGGTCTATCCTCAGAGTACAGCGTGGCTCGCCAGGCGCAGAGTTGGGAGAAGTGGAGCTGAGAGCGGACTGCACTCAGCAGCCAATGGGGAGAGATCACTGACGCGTTCTCAGGGTTCCTGCAATCAATGATTACAATGGTTTGTAGGCAACCTCACGTACTCTACAAGAATTCCTTCCCGCCAGTAGCAGTAGCAGCCCTTTTCTCTCTAGTAAGAATTCCATCCTTAAATTCCAAACTATCAATACAATGACATATCAACATGATTGTTTTATAATAAATGGTATCACTAATTCTCAAGATAGGAATCGCTTTTGATTTTCACTTATTTTTCAGTAAAACTTTTTTGATTTATATCAACTTTTATAAATATTTTACGTTAGATACGACAAAGTTGATGATAGTAGACAGAGCTGAACAGAAAAAGCCAGTACAGAAAATAGAAAGACCTTCAGACAGCTGTATTATGCCTGCTGCTGTGGATGAACATCTTCTGTACACAAGCAGTTATTTATACAATTCCGATATACACTTGTCAGGATAAGAGAATCAATAGTGCTCACAAAGATACTAAAAACGTACTTTTATCACTTATAATTTCTTTATAAAAGTTAAGTTTATTAATAATGTTAAGTACATTCTCGTTTTCGCAACGTGAAGCCAAAGCAAATATACCAAATAAATAATGTATCTTATAAGAATAAACATGTATAAGAATAGAATTAACTATAATAAAGCATGCCCTCTCACAACATTGCTGTGCCTAACCAAGGTCCTTATTGTAACTAATTATAACGTGTCACGTGTAAAATATGAACATAAGGAATGCAATAAAGATTTGAGTTTGTGTTTACTTGTTGGTGATAGCTACGGCCCATCTCTCGAGCAGCAGGCCCCGCTGTCGCAGCTTGTCTCCCGGCCGACACATGGACGAGTAGCAATCCTGGCATTCTGGTGCTAAGAGGACCTGAAATTCGGAGAGAAAATGGTTTTTTTTTTTTTCACAAAATCTTAGGACTATGAAAGTGACAGTTATATACTTTAATTATATATTTTACATAAATTACTATAATTTTTGAAAATCCACCAGTGTATATAAAATTCCACTCATCTCCCAGGGTGGATACAAAGTGACCTATTAATTTATTATCACTTACAATTACTTAGATTATTCTTTAAAAAAAGCCGCATAGAAACGAGTCTAAGGGACGCCCATGCCCATTTAAGTCGGTGCGTTGCTGGCCTTTGAGGGAGGAGTATGCTTTTTTTAAACAGTTGGAATATCCCCACCGGGAGTCGATAGAATATAAAAGATAAATCTCTGATAGGCGGTTATTAGGTTAAACCTATTAATCACTATAACTTACGTCAATGCATATCGGTATCTGGTCATTCCACAGGGCGTGGACGTGGTCGTCTAGCTGGGCCTCAATTCCCGGTAGGGGCTCGTTCGTGTCTGCTTTCGGCTGGGTTACTATCTGAGAATAATATATTACATATTATTAATATAACAACAAAAAGTACTGAAGGGTTCGGTGAGAAGCACATGCACAATTTATGTGGAACATGGTGTAATGGTTGCAGCTCCTTACAGCATTGTGTAAAACAAAAAACTTGGCGAATAAAAAGAGTGGCGGAGAGTTTATTGTCAGTTCTTCTCTCTCGTTCTACGCCCTTGATTTGAGAACTGGCAGTAAAGGTAAAATTTAAAGCATTTGATATATATATTTCTTTTTTGACGTTCATAAGTGTACATTGTGTTACCGATATGAATAAATGATTTTGACACTTGCACAGAGTGAAGTGTAGTGTCCTATTGCTTCCGCTTATTGCTGTTGCAGTGTCCCAAACCTCGAATTTAAAAAATCGTGTTTATAATTAAATTTTAGTAGGAATATCGAAATAATGTTTTACCTGTTTGCTAGTGGAGGGACTGAGCTTGTGTCGTCTGGTGAGAGTGGTGGGACTGCCGCTCCGGGAGCGCACTATCAGCCGCCCCAACTGGTGCAACAACACCGCGCCGCTCGCCACCGCCGACTCGTTACTGTGCATCTGAAATGTCACAAATTTCATCAATATTTAAAGCAAAAATATGTAGCAGGGAAAAGTTCACACATGTACTCTGGGTAGGAAAAAAGTTACGTCTGCGCATCATATGACTCTCGCCAAAAATCTATACTATAGACTGCAAAAAGAACCAGAATATGAAAGAATAAGTCCATTCTCAACCAACTAAAGATCACGGCAAGACTGTCAACTATTCTTTACAAACGGGTGCTTAGCTACTTTGGCGATATTGCCAGGAGATAACCGAATAGTCATGTCGAGCTGGTAATGGTAGGAAGTAGCGACGGCAGGAGAAGTCGGGGTCGATCGTCTACCCGTTTGTCTGACCAAATTAAGACAATTATGGGTCTCAACATCCCTACTGCCCTGATAGAGTGGAGTGGAGTGGACGTATCGGTTAAGGCTTTTCAAGACAGGCACGACCTTCAGTAATGAAGACTACGAAGAAGAAGCAATAATGGCTATTTAAACATTTATTAAAAGGTCGCTCAGTTTTAAGAATCAGCAGTAGGATTTGTATCTTATAATTTACATTGTTTAAAGAAACATAAAACTAAAGCAGCCGATGCCCAAGCATAAAAACTAAAATGGGAATGGGTTGAACATTTAACACGATACCTGGACCACACATGGAGATTAAAGACAACACAACGGAAGGGACCATCCGGGAAAAGGGAGTGGGCAGGGCAAAAAGTAGATGGGCTGATGACTTGATAGAAATATCAGGAAAACACTGAAACACTATTGGCATACAGGGACATCTGGAAAGGGTTGGAGGAGGGCCTGTGAATATGGACCCAAGACGGGCTATCATTTAGCTATAAGTAAATACTAACGAAATTTGAATGGTAATTAAGGACATGAAAATAAAAAAGGCTTTCATTTTATTAAAGAATCACACGCAAATCAGTCTGCGTCAAAATGAAAACATTGATTATTTATTCGATATTACTTTTGCTTCAAATCAAACTGAAGCGCATTGCTCATTACTATTTAAAATAGAGAATCTAGCCATAGATTAAAAACCATAATTTTCCCACAGATTAAAAGTGACCCAATTCCGTCGCCCTGTTGCTAGCGGCCTACTTTTATAAATAGAACAGCGTTGCAGTGACCTAGTTCACTAGGTTTTGACTACCGTGCTGGAAATTTAACTGTTACATCATGCAGGTTAAAAAGAGATTAAACAAAGGATTCTTAACAGGCATTTTAACCAGTTTTATCATTTTGTTTCTAATGGAATACATTTTCTTTTGTGTAGAATAAAATGCAATTTCTGTCATTCATTTCACTTTGTAGAGACACTTCAAACAATTCTTAATAATAAAGACTTTGCTTGATAATCGCTTGTTACTAATCTTTATTAGAGAAATTCTAATATCTTTTGTTGAATTAGAAATCACAAATAAAACCTACTGATCGTTACATCTCTCACAATTTTTTACTTTCTTACGAAATCTGGGTCGCTTTTAACTCACGTCTGCGCTGTAGACGCTTTGCACTTCACGTACAACTAGACATCTATTTATTTAAAGCGCTGAAAAGGGGTTGCATGGAAAGTGTGTCAAGGGCGCTGCAAGCCACACCCCGACATTGGCACGCTCTAGCTTTGAACAAAGGTGCTTTGTGTTCAAAAATACATCAAACAGACACAGATAGAGGAAACGGTTTGTTCCTTTAGGCCGTAAACACAAATTTTGGAATTATAATAACAAACGACAATTCCAAAGTCACTACTAGAGTTTTGTGTTTTCTTCAGCAGACTTCATAATACAATGGTACCTCGATATACGAGTTTAATTCGTTCTATAACTTTGCTCGATCTCAAAGTATTAATGCCATTAATCCGTTCTAGTACCCAAAATACTACCTCAGTTGTTTTTGTTAAGTGTACTCGTATATAACGAAAGAATAAGAAAATTATTTCACGCTTTAATTCAATAGACATCAACTTTTTCGGACTCATTTGTTTTGGCAAAAAGCGCAAACACAACTTATCAAAAATGCTTCGAAAAATAGAGAAACAAGCAAACAGACTGAGATCTAGTCGGAGTATAAACTGTTAGTGTAGTGTGCAATTCCTCGTATCTAAAATCTAGCTCTCATCTCAAAGCAAAATATCGCTCGCCCGGATTTTCGTATCTCAAAACTCTCTTATATCGTAACACTGTACATTTCATTATGATAAACTTGCAAATAGTGAAATCTTATGACTTAGACCAATTGAAAATCATTTGCACTGAGAGAAAAATAGTAAACTCTTCATCATGGTAACATGGGTAGCTTATTGGAACCTGCCGATACTACGGCAATAAGCGCGTAAGAAAGGCAAATGACAAGGTAATTTTTAAATTGGAATGTGTATTAAAGTTGACCTTTGAATGTAGGTCACCTTACGAAACTACTCTGCATCCATACGTCACACAAACGATAACTAAACTGGCTCTTGTTAAAAAAAAAATATTATAAGGGTGTTGTTCCCTAAACAACTTCTAAGATTAATTTTTCTTCAAATATACTTATGACGAAAGAAAGAAAAACTTTATTAGACACAATTAAAAAGTTTTACAGTAAAATGAGAAAGTGCCCTAGTCTCCATACCAGCATATAGACATATAAAGTCCCTATATCGTGGGCACCTAGTCTACCATTTGACATACTTAAGAACATGTACACATTTAAACAACTCAGTGAAATAGGTTAATTTTTTAATACATAATATTGTGTAGTTTTGCCAAGTGGCTTCAGTGTGCCACTCTCTTGATCGAAGTCACTCTGGTCGAAGGTTCGATCCCGACTGATGACTCTATGTGCGCATTTAAGTGTTAAATAATTGTATAAACTACGTCTAACTAGAGCTAATTTTCTTGCACTCTAAATGTATAGCTTATACAATTATAGCTTATCTATGTGTGTAAACTTAACACAAACGTAAAATTTGTGTTAAAACACACAGGTACACACGTTTACTGATCTAATTTAATCGAAGGTGGTAGGTTCGATCCCCGGCTGAGCACCAATGGACTTTCTTTCTATGTGCGCATTTAACACTCGCTCGAACGGTGAAAGAAAACATCGTGAGGCTTGCCTTAGACCCAAAAATGTCGACGGCTTGTCTCAGGCACAGGAAGCAGATCACCTACTTGCCTATTAGATTGACAAATGATCATGTAACAGATACTGATAAAAAGGTTGTAGCTTCACTGTGATGTATTTTTTATTTATATTTATAAACATATACCGTGAATGCAATAGTGATAAATACATATAATTAATTTTTTACACACTAATTCATTCGTTATTGATCATTTATCAATAATTTAATGTAAAACACGATTTTATAACTGCGGACTTTGAACACTCAATGTCATTTAATGTTAATTTATTCTATTACATAAGGTAAACTGCATTCATATACAAAAAATAATTTTGTTAGATAAAACAAATTTCAGATTTTACATTTACGGCTTAATGCTTCTGCAGTGCATCAAGAATGTTTGCAGAGGCGCGGGTGGATTGCTTTTTCGCCACTATGCGAAAGCGGTGCGCTTCTTTGGTGCGCCGGGTGCGGGGCAGCTCCAGCAACATCTTACGGATGATAGTCGAAAGAATGGAGTGCCCCTATTTACGAAACTGCTCCGACATCTCCGCAGGGCTTTGTACCTGATAGTTTTTATTTAACTACTTTTTCCTTATTTTTACTAATTCTCTAACATAGTTCTTAAGAAACTATTGTTACTAACTCACTAATCAATCAATGGACTGTATTTGTCTGATTAATAAAAAATATTATTATTATTAATTCTTTTATTAAAGAGAACAATGGACAAACGGGCAGGAGGCTCACCTGGTGGTAAGTGATACCGCCACGCATGGACACTCTCAATGTCCGGGCTCGCGAGTGCGTTGCCGGCCTTTAGAACTTGGAACACGGAATCGAACTTAATGTAGTTTTTATTTTTTGTATACATAATCACGAAAATGGGGTCGCCAATGTATCAAATTTTGTTGACGACATATTGATACAAAATTAACCATCTAATGTTTACACAAAAACAAAAGAAATCTACGAACAAAAACCTTTAGAAAATTAATTTTAAATAAACAAACACTTAAATATTCCAGTTTCATTGATAAATTATTAACTTAGTAAAATTCAATTTAACGTCAATAAATTTTACAAGATAAATAAGAATAAATACACTTTATAATTAACACAACACACCTAGGTAAAGTGATAACGAAAGATAATTAAGACAAAATCTAGATAATTCTATAAATAAAGCAGATCATAAATTTTATCATCAACACCACCATCAAATGAAACCATTTTAAAAACTAAAATACACCTGTATATTTCCCCATATCTTAATATATATATTTCTTCTGTGCGTGTGTATGTGACTGAACTCCTCCTAAACGACTGGACCAATTTTGATGAAATTTTTTGTGTGTTCAAGGGGATCTGGGAATGGTTTAGATTCACAAATCAGCCCGACAGATGGCGCTGCAGTCGGTACTTTCATACTTTGTTTAATATCTTAATCGGTTGAAATATCATGCAGGACAACGTCTGTGGGGTCCACTAGTTTATTTATATATTTCGTACTCCTACAGCTAACAAAAATTATATAAATAACAAAAACCAATAATTATACTAAAGATATAGCCAAAGATAGAATATACAATAAAATATAGACAAAAAGGTTCAAACATTAAAAAAACTCAATAAAAATTATTAAATAATTTTAACTGAGTAATATGTAGTTCGGTTGTGTTGTGTGATGGTATGAAAGTGAGGGTTTGAATGTGGGGTGTGCTCATGATGCATTTACAAGCAAATATCTCTAGGAAACCAGTATGCCTTGAAGCCAAAAATGGATGCCTGTCAGACATATTTACTACTAGAAATCTAAGGCCAACGCCCAAAAAGCTCTCTAAGACATATCTAGACCTTTTACATTTTTGTTTATTTAATTATTTTT